AGTAGATATGATAAACTTTATATAAGTAGTCTCTGCCATTTTAAAAGCACAAGTGAATAAAACAACGCAACTCCGCATTAAAGTATTCATAAAATCATGTATTAAATGATAAAAATATCATTATGTAACCTTTGTTCCATGATCAAAACGATGGCAGAAAGTAAAAAAATGTTCCTTGGAATTTAATTAAAAGAGTTTTCTGATAAAGATAGACAACATCCACCTGTGAAACTTACAGAAATGTCTATCAGACTGACAAGAAACGGCCAACAGCTGTTACGTAATACCAAAACCTCAAATGCACCTCATATACTGGTAACACAAGTACAGCCCACTTCATATATACCCCTCTTCAAGAGGAGTTCAGAGACCGTATGAAGAACTTAACATAATTATGAAGTTTATTCTAAAGTTTGGGATATTCTTTAGAAAAGATTTTTTTTTGCTTCTCAAATTTGTAAAAAATTTTTGATATGATCATTTTGGAGCTAGAAAGGGAATGGGGAGTTTGTAAATATTGTAGATTTAGAAAGATATTGAATTTTAGCTTTCTCGGAACGATTTATTAACCTGACCATACTTTGAACAATTTAGTAATTGGCTGTTACTTTAGTGACTATGGATGCCAGATTTTAGACTTTTAAGATTTTTAAAATTTGTTGTGGATGGAAATGTAGGCGGTGAAGTGTTTGTGTATTTACTGGTAGGTGATGGTTATGTAAAGAATTTAAATTTTATGTACAAAGACAGTTATAGTTTTGACGGGCAAACAGATAGCTTCACGGTGGTTATCAGATACTGATTTTTTGTGAGGTAGACATTTGTTGGTTTTCTTGTTGTACGGATACAGTTAGTGTTAACATCTGTTGAGTGCTGTTTACAATCGTTTTTATCAAAATCAGACACAGATTGACAGGAATTTGGTATAAATACTGTTTAAATCCAACACTTATTAACATATCAAAGTCGTATATAATTGGAAGTTACTATATTTAATGAATAGCATATTCTCTTTCATCCTTGTTATTTTATGATGAGTCTTAGAACAATAGAAAATTATACCAATAAAAATTGTATCTTGTAGATGTTCATCGATCTGATAGATTGACTTACGTACTGGTATAATGTTTTATAACACTTTGGTCAATTTAACGTCTTGTAGTATAGATCCGCAAACGATGATTGTAACCTTATAGAGAAAGGAGTCTAGATAGGATATATATACATGTATACATTGCTGATTTGGAACTCTTACTTTGGCCTTCAAAATTTAAAATCTAAAATCCATTTGTTTTCAAAATCAACATTTAATGACAGCGGTTCACAAGAATTCAGCAAAACCAATTTCTTTACTGAATGGTAATTAATTGTACACGATTACAAGTAAATTTAGGTATAAGTAAATTTGACTCAGTCACTGCAGACCATGCACACTCATTAAACGTGATAGCTGAACTACATTGTACTACAGATTCTGGTATTTATTAGAACCCAGACAGATAGCCTATGTACTATGTAAGTCATTCTCTAAACAGTATCAGACACGTATATCTCATATTACATCTAACATACAAGCATATATACCTCACAATGTGCAGTGCTTTAGAATAAAATGAGTTAAACTTCTCAAAATAAGATAGCACAAACAAAGTACCCTTGCTTACATTGTAATAAGCCTTCCTTTATCTCTTATTGCTGTTTAGTACAGTTACAGAGCAATCCTATAACATTTTCCTCATTAAGCCCATCTCCTGGGTAGAAGACTTTGTATTTTGGCCTTCTGTGTTCAATGCATGATAAAAAATTAATATACATGTACCACAGATTTATTTGTCATTTCTGAGATGTTTTGAGAAGGAATTCTTGTGCTATGCTGTCAACATCTTTAAATGATTTGGCAGAATAACATCAACATCGTACAGAAATAGAGAAAATATTCAGTTTATTGGGAAATGACTGCTAAACAGCGGCATTGTGACATAACTGCTTTGGTAGTTAGTTATCCACTGGAACTGGAATAATTGGTTTTACAGTTGCTGTCTACAAACCATGAAGTGATAAGTAAATTAATGAGATGTTATATATTCAAAGTTATGTGATACTGACTTAAATGTTTATGAAGTATGATATGGTGTGGGTGTGGATTTATATACAGAATAAAAGGATGCTCGTAAATGAACTTAAGGCAAAATTCTAAATTTTTTAGTTATAATGAGAGAAAATTTAAAAACATCTTTGACCTTCGCTACCTTGTTCATGACCTTGACTCACAACCATGGAATGAGGACATGGATCTGATTCATACAACAATATTTTTACTGTTTGACCTTCCCTTTAAGAAAATATGACCTTGACCTTTACCTGGCATTATACATGTAGTTGTCGATCGATTCTATACACGTTTAATGTCACGTAGGTGTTTGTACAAATTGCGGACATTTGGGCGTTAACACACATAGTGTTATTTGATGTAGGAATTAGATGGGAAATTTGCCAGGTGAAAACACTGATACAAACATTGGGGCTGCCAGAAATACAGAAAAACAAGGTGACAGCACCGCTGCGAAGTGATTCTACACAGTATCATTGGTCACATGTCCTGTCCAATCAGAGGGTTCATAGATAATATATGTTGTTATTTTGTGAATGTACTTATACATGTACTAATTAATTAACACTGTATACCTCGTCAAACATTATCACTGTGATGAAAATAAACAAATTTTCTGCTGTAAAGCTGTATAGTTAAAAAAAAGACTGCAAATAAAATTGAAAGTTCACCAAATTATCATTAATGTTTGTGAAGGTTAATGAAAGAAGATGAAATAGAATCTTGGATTTTCACCATTCATACAGTATCCTGTAATAAGCCCACTGCCCAGATTTTGAGTACTCTGTAATAAGCCCGCTGCCCAGATTTTGAGTACTCTGTAATAAGCCTGCTGTCCAGATTTCTAATATCCTGTAATAAGCCCACTGTCCAGATTTTGAGTACTCTGTAATAAGCCCACTGCCCAGATTTTTATTGAGTACTCTGTAATAAGCCCACTGCCCTATTTTTGAGTAATATGTAATAAGCCCACAGCCCAGATTTTTAATATCCTGTAATAAGCCCAATGCCCAGATTTTGAGTACTCTGTAATAAGCCCACTGCCCAGATTTTTATTGAGTACTCTGTAATAAGCCCACTGCCCTAATTTTGAGTAATATGTAATAAGCCCACAGCCCAGATTTTTAATATCCTGTAATAAGCCCACTGCCCAGATTTTCAATATCCTGTAATAAGCCCAATGCCCAGATTTTTAGTATTCTGTAATTAGCCCACTGCCCAAATTTTTAGTACTCTGTAATAAGCCCACTACCTAAATTTTGAGTTTCCTCTAATAAGCCCATTGCCAGAATTTTGATTAAGAAACTATGTTTTAGCCCCCTGGACTTACTGTAGAAAACATTAAAATCTTTATAGACCTTCACTGCTAATGCTTGTTTATATGTTGGTGCTACCTCTGCCAAGTCTAGTCAATACAATGTATGTTGGGACCAAGATCAGAAATGTGTTGAGATTTTCAGCTCCTGGTATAAACAGCTATATAACCTGATCTGTAGGGTTCTGTATCCCAATTAGCAGATACCTATCTCCTTGTTGTTTGACTTTGCTCACTGGGAAAACATTTGGTTACAAAGTTTCAGGATATGTACAGTACAAATGTTTCGGAGGCTGGAATCCCTATCAAAAGATGGGACTGCAGCCAAAGCACACATGGTTTTGTCCTTTCACATCAGGAAAGGTCGACATATGTGTAAAAGTTATTTTTTATATTCTAGCAGATATATAATTTTTAAAACAAAATTTGAGGAGACATGTAATGGTTTTTGTGTTGTCTGCCCATTTGTATGTGTTTTGTAACCATTAATGTATCTGAAGATCTTTCCTAACAGTTTATAACCCATTTCTTCCTGTCTAAATTGGCTCTATAGCCTGGACATGAAATTGTGTTTTTGTGTGAGTTTGATTAAACAATTTTTATAGAAGATATTGCCCTTTTTGAGCATTTTATCATTTTCTCAGATATCTAAGATCTTCATCACCTTTTAGCCAATTTCTTTGAAACATGGTCAAATTTATACCTATACTATCTGATTGTCTTTCCATGACCAGTATTTTGATTCAACAATATTTGGAAGAGTTATTGCCCATTTTGGGGTTTTGGTATTTAAATCTTGGTCATAATTTTTTCACTCAGTTTTCAACCCATCTCCTTTAAACATGGTGTGCTTTATCGTGAAAACATGACAAAGAACTATTTTTCCTGGTGTAATGGTGACTCCTTTATCTGTTTCCATATTTGTATTCATTTTGATACATTAATGTATGTCTCCTAGACATGGTACAAAGATATAGTATTCTGTGTTACTCTTTGTCAATCCATTCTGTACTGCTTCTTTTTATTTCTTTGCATTCTTCTAGCACTTTAAAGAGGGTTGATATTACATATCAAGGAATTCATAAAATATTATTAGGGTCATCAAATATTTCCATTATGAATGAATTTGTAGGGTTCAAAATTGGCTTAAGAAATGAAGAAAAAGGCTGTTACACTGCAAAGGGCTAATAACAATTTCAGAAAAAAGTGAAAAAGGATGTATGAGCGAAAATGCTGAAAGAAAGATGAGAAAGTTAATTAGAAGACATTGTATCGTTGTTGCATTTCTGCTGGTGGCTTCCGCACTGAACAATATACTGAAGGCCCATCACATGCCATCGAGAGCAATTAGTGTAACTGTTTAGGTCAAGGACACAACCCCAACAAGACATAATGACCTGTTTCTCGACATCTCGAGAAACCCTAAACACTACAGGTAGGGAGTGTTAATTCACACTCCTTGGTGTAACTGTAACTGTAACCCTGGTTAACAATGTGAAGGTAAACCTACTGAGTTGTCATAGTTACATTATTGTTGCAATACTTAACATCTGTTCTTATGTGGTGTTTTTGTAGGTGTGGAGAATACAGCCAAATTCAAAATGCCAGAACGAAGAAAAATCAAGACTTCTAAACACAAAGTGGTTAGCTCCACACCAAGGAAGGGTACTAAAGTTGTACGGGCCGAGGATGTGGAATCAGATGGCCAGTTTGATGGTAGGGGCAGATAACTCCAATAAATCGTATTTGTTGGATGATATCAGAAATTCATATTGCAAAACATACATTCAGAATATAAAAGAAACATTCATTAAAAGTTATGTATGACCTATACCAAGTGAATATTAATCTAATAGAGTTGTGATATTTTGTCTTCAAACAATATTTTTGGCTTCATCATCATCAGAAATTTTTATTCTTGGAAATATACGTTTATTTGTACAAAATATTCCTTACTAAGACCAGGGTATAGAAAGATATCTATGCTCCATCTCCTCCAATTACTGTTAGTTACATTTGTAATATAATGTGTGTTAATCAAAATGGTGTCATATTATTAACAGTTACTAAAAAGCACTTGTTGGTTTCAGATTTTAACATTTTGGACACAAGTACGGAGGCGGTATGCGTTCAGCCAGAATTTGATGATGGAACATCTCGTCCAGTGTTCCAGATGAAACTTGAGAAAACAGTTGTTGAAGGTTTGTGGGCTTTGTTTTTGTCCATAACACAAGATTAAAAGTTCAACCATGTTAACCTATTAATAGTGATTATAAAAATTAATCAGATTGTCTCACCCTAGATTTGCACTATTCGCCCACTGTTTTCCATTCTAACTTTGAACACTTTAACTAGAATGGATAAGCTTTTTACTAAAATATTACAGTTTTGTTGATAAGAATACCCTCTTTTCGTTAAAAGAAAGCACAGGTACCAGTTATTTTGACCTTTTCTTTAATTGAAATTTAGATATTAAATATATGACTTGACTTACTGTTTCATTAGTGTTACCTTTAGTCCACTTGTTACCATTGATATATTTTTCGCCACCAGAGGGAGCCTCTGCTCAGATGGAATGTGTTGTTGCTGGAATACCGCCACCCAAAGTGTTATGGCTCAAAAACAACCGTCCACTTATGGCCACTGACAGATGTCGTGTCATTGTCGATGGGGACAGCAATATCCTAGAGTTTCCAAGAGCTCGTGCAGATGACACAGCAGTTTACACAGCCCGAGCAATGAATGTTAATGGATCGACCATCAGCACCGCAGAACTCTATGTTGGAGACGGTGAGTAATTCAATGTAGATTAAATAAGTATTTAAGATGTCATTCAGACACCAATCTTCAAATTGACAGGTATATGAGACATTTCAGTGTTTGACATAGTGGTGACATCAGTCTTCTATCAAACATTGTTCTATGTTTAATTGTCGTGTCCTTTTTGTCAGGTAAACCAGTAGAGGTAGACTTTCAAGTTTATAGAATACTATAATATATTTTGTATGACAGGAATCACTGTATTTAATGATTTTGGCTTTAATTGAAGAGATATTTATCTGTTCAAAAAACCAATAATATTAAAACCATGAATAACTTGTATATATAAAATTGTTTATTGTAAACATTTACACTAAAAAAAGCAGAAGATGCTTACTTTTCTGGATCTGATTCTTTTGTGTAAATCTTCCTTTGTTATATTTTGCTGACATGTCAACATTTATTTTGTGGTTTTGGTCTGTTGACAGTTACTTTTAAAGTTAAAAATCATTTCTTGAAGCTCTTCTTTTCATTAAAACTTCTATATCATTAGTGACTTCATTTTTAAAAGTTAGACCCTGAAGTGCATTATACGATATATCAATATTAATTAAACTAAGCTCATTCTGCTCAAAACATCTTTAGTTCCCAACAATTTTATCTCATTTGTTTGGTAAAAAGAACAATTGTGTTGACCTACAATGAGTGTAAATGCAAGGTAAGCTCTTATGCAATGAAAAATTTTGTTTGAATTTAATGAAAATGGGGAAATTATAAGCATTGATGCATTTAAGCAAATTTTGTGGTTGCTTCAAAAGGCAAAAAACAAGAAATGCATAATTGAAATTGTCTGATGGATTCAAATAGTAAGAACTTCAGATTGGTAAAAGTTGAAAAATAAAAGACAATTTTAATGCAATTATTTGTAATCATCCAATTTTTGAGAAGCCATTAATATTTGGTATTTTATTGTACACAATATAAACATGAACATAACGTCCTACACTTATATTGATCATAAGAATTGGAAACCAACTGAACCTGAGAATTTGAAAAAAAAGCCTGTCAAAATGAAATGAAACCCCCACTGAACTGAATGTTCCTTAAGAATGCAGCACAACATTTTCCAATTTTCTTTTTCCAAACTCTGTGAATGCAGAAGTTTTGCGTCTGGGTACGTAGAGTGTGACCATCAAAACCTTAACCGTTCATGTACTTAATTACAGATTATGTATATATGAGTTACCTCCCCTGATACAACTGACATAAACAATACCAAAACAATGTAATATATTGTACAACAATGGAATCATTTATATCAATGAAATTCTCATGTCTTAGCTAGTTATAATTCAAGGTCAAATTTGATTCATGTCTTAGCTATTACGGTTCAAGGTCAAACTTGATTCATGTATATTTGAGTGATTAACTAACATTTTAAGTAAATATTCCTCCTGCAAAGTTATCGAGCAAGAAACCAAATTTTTATTTTGAAAATACTACATCTGGAAAGTTGTCTTATTGTCTTTTTGTTTTTATTTTTGATACTTTATTAATTAAAATGAATGTACATGATTCCAGTGGAGCCCTCTGTATCATGTCACACAATATATAAATATTTGTTACGTGTCGTTACTCTGTTCCAGTCAAGCATGAAGTAAACACTTAGAGTCATCAATGTTAAATAAATAAAACTTTAAATTCATAAATTTACATGTATTTCAATTAATTCATAAATTTACATGTATTTCAAAGGCATGTTATTAATCATCCTATCATGTCCAGAAATGTCGTTTTAATTGTTGTTACGTATCCCTTTATGTGTCACATAATTAAGTAAGAAAGAAACACTTTCTTAATTTGGCATTTCGTAAAATGCCTATTGAAAAATTTGATTGTAAGTGCAGATGTGTAAGAAATTTTAACTGAATGGTGAAAGAGTTGACTATATGTAAGATGAGCTTATTGATTAATATGTTGTCAAGAATAATTAACGCCAATTAGTATTATTATCATTAATATCATAAAAAGCTGCAAATTGGTGAAAAAAGTGTTACATCTGGACAGGAAACTTCAGATAAAACTTACCATATTGATACACTGTATTGCCAAATATACAGAAATTACATTCATTAAAAGACAAAAAAAAAATAAGAAACATTACAATATTTTTGTAGCAAGATATATTTTAGAATAATAATTTTACAGGTAATATTTCCAAAAAATGATTTAGGTTTGAGAAATGAAATTTTACAGGCACATGCAAACAATGTAGTGCTTAAATCATTATTTTAACTAATTCCTTAGAAATCATATTTAATATTATGTACATCCTTGAAAACATGGAATGAATTTGCTTGAAAATCCTAAAGAGATGAAATTCTATAAGTAGTAAATGGAGTGTTAAATTATAATGTGATTTGTTGCCTTTCCCTGGAACATTCATCCTTCTTTGAGACAAATGTAATCATTATGCATGTTGCCTTCCCTTTGGTTTCTAGCCCAACCCTCAGACCTCTTGAAGTACCGTGAGGGCATTCCTGACAATGAGTTCCGCACGCCTGCCTACTTCTTCCAGATGAAGAGCTGCCAAGTGGAAGAGGGCAGATTAGCACGATTTGACTGCCGAGTGGTGGCCTATCCTAAACCTGATATTATCTGGTAGGTGGGGTGAGGTAGGATGTTTGGATTGAGTAAGAGGTGGACCTGATATTATCTGGTTTCAGTAGTTCGGGTGAGTTACGGTTGTTTGGGTGAAGTCAGAGATGAACCTTGCCTAGAACTGATATTGTCTGGTAGGTGGGGTGAGTTACGGTTGTTTGGGTGAAGTTAGAGATGAACCTTGCCTAGAACTGATATTGTCTTGTAGCTGGGGTGAGTTACGGTTGTTTGGGTGAAGTTAGAGATGAACCTTGCCTAAAACTGATATTATCTGGTAGGTGGGGTGAGTTACGGTTGTTTGGGTGAAGTTAGAGATGAACCTTGCCTAGAACTGATATTGTCTGGTAGGTGGGGTGAGTTACGGTTGTTTGGGTGAAGTTAGAGATGAACCTTGCCTAGAATTGACATTGTCTGGTAGGTGGGGTGAGTAAGGGTTGTTTGGGTGAAGTTAGAGATGGACCTTGCCTAGAACTGATATTATCTGGTTTCAGTAGTTCGGGTGAGTTACGATTGTTTGGGTGAAGATAGAGATGAACCTGTCCTAAACCTGATATTGTCTGGTAGGTGGGGTGAGTTACGGTTGTTTGGGTGAAGTTAGAGATGAACCTTGCCTAAACCTGATATTGTCTGGTAGGTGGGGTGAGTAAGGGTTGTTTGGGTGAAGTTAGAGATGGACCTTGCCTAGAACTGATATTATCTGGTTTCAGTAGTTCGGGTGAGTTACGATTGTTTGGGTGAAGATAGAGATGAACCTGTCCTAAACCTGATATTGTCTGGTAGGTGGGGTGAGTTACGGTTGTTTGGGTGAAGTTAGAGATGAACCTTGCCTAGAACTGATACTGTTGATTGGATGTCAGTAGGTGTTTTGATACATTTAGAGTCAGCATAGCTCAACTAGGGTTTATTTGGTCAGGGGAATTTCTAGACTTGAAATGTTTAATGTCTTATTGTCTTTAACTTATTGTTTTGAAGTAGAAAGTGAGAGGTGGACAGGGAATTCAGTGAGAGCAAGTAGACATGAAATATAAACTGTCTTCCACAGAGGCAAATGTACATAAACAGGCCTTGTAAAATCCTCAAACTGCACTTGTTATAGCAGTTTTATCTCAGTTTATTGAAAATTGTCGTAAACTGTTTCTATAACTGAAGTTTGGAATGATGGAGTGTGAGACAGTAAGGAAGGATGAGTCTTCAGAACCCTTATGATAGGTGAGGTTCAGAAAAGACGAGTTACAGGAATGAGGATGATGCTTGGTGACAACAAAGACAGCTTCACAGAATATTTATTTGTGAAATATTTTCAAACATATTTCCTCCATTGAACTTGTGACCCATGTCTGTATCAGTTTTACGTGTGCCTACTGTATGTGGACAGTGTTGTATTATGATTCCTCCCCTTTGTTCTGTGAGATTTCCATCACACTGTCACAGGATGTGGTCTGTTGCCATTCCTTCTTTCTTCAATAGACTTTTTCCTCTATAGCTGTATACATGCATGTTAAAATTTGTCAGGAATATTGAATTTTTGAAAATTAAATTTCATGCAACCATGTCATAAATCATGTGACATGTTTTGGGAACAAAATGTACATTAAGTATCCTAATTGAAATTTGACTTCCTCATAGCAAATCAATTTAAGTACTATTTTGTATTCATAAATGTTTTGTCATTGAAAACATTGTACCAGAAGTAATTTGATGAAAATAAGCATTTTACTTGTGTCACTAATATGAAATTTACTGAACGCTTTAGGAAGTTGTTCATAATAAACACAGGACCATTCCATCTTTTCATAATGAAGAGTTATCTGCTCTTGTCAGCAGGTATTGATAGTTATGTCATTAGTTTTGCTTGAGACAATTACATCACAAACTGATAATATTATTCTTTCACAATGAAGTGATGTATCAATAAATACTCACAAGAGCAGATAACTCTGCATTAAAAAAGATGGAATCAGACCAAGTTATTGAACTCCTTGAGTGAATTAAATTTTTCAAGGACACTCATTACTGTTTATAAAATATAATAATATTTTATTTTGAAGACTTATATCTTAGAGGATTAAAAAAGCTTGAGCTCTGTTTGTTTAAATTTGGTGAATGAAATTTCAGTGCATTATTACTTCTTGGTTAATAAGTACCATTCTGAATTCCTGCATCCTTAATGGTTGTTACTTAAACAACATACTGCAATTACAGTATTGATATTATGTAGTGGAAAGAGTTAAAATAAGATAACCGTTGAAATATGGACATTTAAAGTAAAACGTTACAAAAGCTTATTTAAGGGTGGTTGGGCGGAACAGTGGTAATGTACTCACCTTTCACCTAACAATATGGGGCTCAATTCCTGGAATGGATGTGAAAAGGTAAGAGGTCACCTGGATTTTCCCTGGGTACTTTGATCTGCTCCCACAATAAGACTCCTCTCGCACCTACATCTGGGCCTACAAGAGTGATTATAAGTTATTTCACAATTGTTGTAAAATAAATAAAGTTTATATTATAATAAGGCTTATTTCAGATCTCACATTTTGTGTATTAAAATGATTCATTAATCTTGTCATATTATTTTGAAGTTGAAATATTTTAACAACAGGATGAAGGATGGAAAGGTGCTGACATCTGGTGAGCGATTCAAACTCCTGAACTTTAATGATGAGATCTACTCACTGCTGATCCAGGCGGTGGAGACCGATGATGAAGGTCGTTACACATGCTGGGCCCACAACAAGTACGGAGAAGCCATGACAGAGGCCTATCTCAATGTACTTGGTAAGTCCATGTGTGTTACTTGTATATCTAATATTATCATGTTCACACAGAATTCATATCCAAACTCTGACCAAGGTATAACAGTCAAGTTCCAGAAGCTAGTTAAAATTGAGACTGAATCTCTTTGCCTCTTTATAATACTACATTTTCATACATTATTATTCTATACACAGTATTTCATTAATTACAGCACTACACGACAATCTGGATGATGATATGGCCCCCAAGTTTTTGACCAAATTTTACGACCAGACTGTTACCGAGGGAGTACCCTGTGACCTACAGTGTATGATTGCCGGGAAACCTCAGCCAAGTGTCCAATGGTTGCACGACAACATTGAGGTGATTCCCACTGCAGAAATTGCCATAGTTAACCAAAGTAATTTCTGTAGCCTAAAAATCAAAGAAGTCAGCAAAAACCATGCTGGAAAGTATGCCTGCCTTCTAAAGAATGGACTCGGAGAGGCAAGTTGTTCTGCCGGAATCACCATCATTGACAAAAAAATCAAAGGTGTGCCAATGCTGCCTAAGTTCCTTAAGAAACTGTGTGACGTCACAGCCAAGACAAACGAGGACTTCGAGTTTGAAGTTGTTGTTGTTGGAGAGCCGAAACCCAAGATCACATGGCAATACAACCACAAGCCAATTTCGGTACACACATATTTTATTATACCCTTTAAAGTCAATTGTTAGCTGTATAGGTGTATGTTTCTAAGAATTAGATGAACATGATTTTTAAATAAAATTTATATTCAGAAATTTAAGCATAAAATATCATGAAATAGGTAACTGATGCACCTGATAAATTTGACGATGATCTTGTCAAAAATCGTAGTCCCTGCATGTAAAAGTTTATTGAATTTCAAATAGGAATCTGTCAGAATTTTTACTGTTTCAATCTTCAAGCCAAACACTGGATAGTTTACAAATATTATTAAATATAGTTTGTATGAACAACAACCTTTTAACTAAAAAGAACAATTTTTAACTTCAATGATTTTTTAAGAAGTATTGGCCTTATGTTGTTGTCCATGGAGGAGCATGACAGTGTGAAATCCAAGTACAACCAAACAGACATATTTTAATGAACAGCTGGATTTTTTCCACTTAGGGAAGTCATAGAAGGATACGGAAGAGCCACGAGGGGGACGTGTATCGCCTCACTATCAGTGATGTTCGCCTGGAGGATGATGGGAAATTCACATGCAAAGCTGCAAACTCTGAGGGCGAGGTGTACTGTAGCTGTAATCTGTTGGTTAAGGAATCACGTATACAGTTAGAGCCAGCCGAGGAACCAAGGTACATTTTATAGATCAACATAACACAGAGGCATTTGTGATCTGTTACCGAGTCATATCAGTATACAGGTATACAGTAATTAAAACTAGAAAATAAATTTTATTTTGACTTCGTTTCTTATCTGACATCGTGTTAGAATCCTACTGGGTGTCAGGTTAGATAGATTTATCAATGTACACTAATCCCCAAAGATACACTTGATACAGAAACAGTGATGTGTCATACGTTAATCCCTGCAATAGAAACTGGAAAGAATGGGGCCTATTGGTTTTTGTCAGCAGGATTGATCACAATTTTGGGACTGATTAGAAAAATAAAATGACCGTAAGGTGGCCATTTTGGATTATGACTATGAAAATTTGTTATCACTATTTCTTGAGAAAGACTGGTCGCTAGTTGTGCCTTTTTAATTTTGAGTTTGATCAGAAAAACAATATGGCCAACAGGGAGCCATCTTGGATTTTGATCATGTTGTTATCGCTATTTCAGTAGATGCACTGGATTGATCTATCTCAAGTTTCACATTTAGGTTCGCCTTTGTTTAATTTCAATCTCATCTGGAAAACAAATGACCAACAGACGCCAATCACTGATTTTGATTTTGAGAGCTATTTTCATTATTTCTTGAGAAGTACTGGATGGATCTGTCTCAAATTTGACATGTAGGTGTATCTTGGTCCCTTGTTTCCCCATTTCATTTTGGTACTGTCAGAGACACAAAATATTTACAAGCAACATCAGTTGACACTTTAAGATTATAATTGCTTTTTCTTGAGAGGAATTCTCAATTTTCATATAATCAAGAGCAATTGAGAGAAAAGAAGGAAAAAGATCCAACTTTTAAAGAACAATGAACCATTAAACAATGGTAGACATCAAGATCCCTCGGAAATATTTGTTCTTCATGCCTACAGATAATAAGCTGAAATTTGGTGAATGGCTTTTTAAAAGAAAGTTACAAAGATTCAGTTTTTTATCACCCTTTATGAAAGAGTTATTGCCCATTGTGTTACTACTTTGAGAAGCCAGTGAATCTGACTGGCTATATATGGTTATAGAGAAATATTAATTGGTCAACATATGAGATTTGTTACGTTTAATCCAATTGATTGGAAGAATAGTTTTTATCCGCTCTATCTATAAAGTGTTATATGATGAATTGTCTCCCTTTGAACAGATTTTATCCTCTCTATCTATAAAGTGTTATATAATGAATTGTCTTCCTTTGAACAGATTTTATCGTCTCTATAAAGTGTTATATGATGAATTGTCTCCCTTTGAACAGTTTCACACAGAAGGACTTTGATGCACGGTATGGATGTGCACCTACGTTCCTGAAGAAGATGGAGGATGTGACAATGCCCAGTGGTCAATCTGCCAAGTTTGAATGTCGCATCATGGGAATCCCAGAACCCACTGTCCAGTGGTAAGCTTTGTCATTGGTTACATGAACATGAATGTGGCAATCCACTAATGCTGAACTTGTTTTGTCTGTCTTTAAAGATTTCTGGCTTTGAACAATCTATACAAATCCCAGATAATAGTTGTTAATGGAAATACTGTATCTCTGTGGCAATAAACCCTTCCATATATATATTGCTTTTTGGTAAAATTATAAACCAATTATATTTTATTTCCTTATAATGAGCCCTAACACCAGTTGACTGATATCAGCCTTGTTGACTCTTAGAAAATAGATAATGCTTTATTATAAACAGTTTCTACTGAAATAAGATAAGTTTATAAATAAATAGATTAATAAATAAATAGTAGATAAAAAAGATATGAAGAAATAAATACTACTTAAACTTAGTTAAGATAATCCATTTTCTTTTCTGCACCAATAAAATTTAGTAAGTGACGGTACAGTCATAATTTTACACATCCAGAAAATGGAGTACTTTCCACGGTTATGTCTCCAGCATACATTATCGTACATGTTTGGATCTTATTCTCACACTCGTGTCTACAGGTTTAAGAACGGCGTCCCTATATCCCAAGGTAAGAAGTACTGGATGTCACAAGACTCGGCGGGTAACTGTGGCCTTCAGGTGTATGATGTGAGTGCTGGTGATGAGGGTATTTACACCTGTACCCTTACCAATCCTGCTGGCGAAATCTCCACCAACGCCAGTCTCCGCATCGGCAGTACGTATCATGTTTAGTGAATTCCTTACTATAGCTAACAATATGATACTGTTCATAGCTTTTCTCTTGTTGTTTAATGTGATAGTTAATGACATTGAAAAATTCTAAAATGAAATTCTATTCTAGATTCATATTTCAATGTACTGAAATCTGCTTTAAGAAAATTGAAAAAGGTATATTCTTGTACAGAAAAGGCAGATATCTAGATGACAAAGGTTCTATATATCAGTCTAGGGATACTGCTGTCAATCTAAAGAATGTTGTTCTGCCAGGAAACTAATTCAAACTCATATCTGTTACGTACATGTATTGTTGAAGACATGAGGATTAAATTTCAGGAAAATAATAAAAGTATTGCCAAAAAAACATTTATCTTCTGAAGGAAGTTTTTTTTTACACAACATTGTATGTTATACTTCATTGTTTGTAGAGCCAAAAGAATCTATGGAGCGTGATTTCCCATCAAAAACGACGAAGGGTAGACGACTTTCCCGGGAAGATATGTTAGACTGTATGTATAGACATATGAGTCAAAAAAAGTACAATTTCTGTGTTGATTACAAATTTAGAAAGATAAGAAAAGAATTAACACATGAAATTTTGATCAACCGCAAATTACATGAAAACATGGTTTGTCTGTAGTTGAAGAATAAAGTGCAAACTAAACATAGTTGTGACCATGATTGTGGAAACTGATTTAAATATAATGCAGAATAACATGAAATAATTTGTGGCTAAAGTTCCTTAAATCTTATTATTACATGTAATAGACTGATGAATTCCTTTAAAGATTCTTACACCATTTGATGATGTCATTATATAACAGTCTCTCCCTGACTTGTTTAATGTATAAATTTTATGTTTGTGTAGCCACCCGTGCACCAACCATGTCACGAGATGAACCTACAATGAAGAGCACAAGGCCAGATACGGTGCGCCTTTCATGGGCTCCGGCTCCAACATCAGGCCTACCAAAAGATGCACGTAACATTCGATACATCGTTGAGTCGAAGGCCCTGCCAAATGCAGATTGGAGGACAATCGGAGATGGTATCCATAGCAACACATATATGGCCAAGAACTTAAACCCAGAAAAGGAGTATGCGTTCCGTGTTCGTGCAGAGAACCAGTTCGGTCAGAGTGAACCAACACAACCCGCTAGACTGGAGCGCATCAAAATTGGTATAAAAATACTTCCACAATTTTAGGGGGATCCATTGCTTTGTAAGGGAACTATTTTCTGTAGAACTATTTTGACTGTAAGCTATTGGGTCTAAATATTTTGTTGTCCAAGACATAACTTTTAATACGTTAAATATGTCTTAATGAAACTCGAAACATAACTGTAGTCTTTACTTCAAAGACAAAAGTAATGTATTACTGCTGACTTTTTATTCTTGTATCGCTTTCTTGTAAGTGTTAGATATCTTTATGAAACCCGTTATATAAATGCAACTATCCACAAATATTGTACAGTTCTTCAAAATTAAGTCACTGCAAGTTTTATCTCAAGGTCAAAGGTCAACTAATATTACTAGTACAGCCTTACTTTTGAAAATGTCTTAACGAAAGTTCTACAGATAGTGTGTGTATTAATTTAATAATTCAGACCCATGTAAGACGTTATTGGTATGATTTACCGGCTAATAAGACATATTTTTTGTAAAAGTAATTACTGTTGTTGATAATTTAGCTGAAATAAGAAAATTAAATGTAGTTATGAAGAATGAAGCAGTGTCGTAGTTCCATAAAAAGATAATTGAAATATCCGCATGTGAAATATGTTTTACACTTCTATACTTTTATCTGTCATAGATGAGAAGATTGAAAAGAAGAAGGTTATTCTCCCAGAAAGCAAGAGTAAGTAGCCATAGTGATTATTTACGAAGTAATTGATATCATGTGTTTAAGGCTGTTTTATCCAGATCAGGATTACTGTCAAATCTATTGAAATAACTATATAATGTAGCTGTTCACCAATAAAAAGTGTCCGTATCAAACGTCTTTATGACTAAAGTAATTGTGAGATATTTCAGTGCCATTTCTTACTTAAAGAAATATTTTTATGTTTGAAGGACCACCATCACTGCCATCAACTAAACCTGTTATAACAGATTATGGAAAGGAATCTGTTCGGTTGGCATGGAAACCAGCCCCACCTCCAGTGACTATCAAGAAGCCCCTTCCTGTCTCGTACCGTGTGGAAACCCAGGAGTTGCCAAGTACCGATTGGCTGCCTATGGCTAGTGGACTATCTACACCAAGCTACTATCTGCCACAACTCCAGGATCACCATGACTACAACATCCGTGTTCGCGCTGAAAACAAATATGGAGTCAGTGAACCGTCGGAGCCTCTTTGGCTACCTAGAGCTCGTAGTAAGTATCAATTTATTTTACCAATACCTTGTTATGAGAATCTTTGCCCAATAACTGTCCTCACTCTTATTGGCTTTAAAAATAACAGGGACTTTATATAAATGCTATTCAGCAAAATGAGATACTTAGGAAGTGGTTTGAATATATAAATTCTAAATATGATGTGTTCATCACATGTTCATTTATTCGAATTTAAAATGTTTTACAATCTCCTTTGGGCCTTTTGACCTTAGAGTTGACGGCATGTGTATGTATAGACATCATGATATTATCATTATATAACTTGTTAGTGCAGTCAACCACTACTGTCCAATCTGCCTAACTTCTATAAAATAATTTTTAAGGTTTCCCTGGTGTACCAGTGAGACGACCAGAAATCATTGAAATGGAACCAGAATATGTGAAGTTGTCATGGGAACGTGTTGATGTCCCTCCTACTGCCCTTGACGAAGAACCATTAACTTACATGCTCGAGATGCAGGAACCAGCAAACCGGGACTGGCGTGAGATCGCCCAGGGTATCCGTGAACCACACTACGTAGTTCGTGACCTTCAACCTGGCAATGACTACAGGTTTAGAGTTCGCTCAAGATCTCTGGCTGGACCTCTCAGTGAACCCTCTCCTGCTACTTCTCTGTATAGAACCATGGGTATGTAACCAGATATAATTTCTTTGAAGATGTTTTATTTAGTTCACTGTATCTTAAGAGGGTACAGCCTACCACTCGTTCTCCTGAAACAAATGAACCATAACACATGGTAGGACGTTGGTTACTGGAGAATTTTTCTTGCTGGAGAGTTTTTTCCTCATGTTTAATTGAAGTGATTGCAAATTTCTATACCACAAATTTGCTGTAGATTGTAATATGGTGTATTAAAACAAAATTGATAGAGGACATAATTGCGTGTGTAACTTAAGACATACTGACTACTTCAAGATATCCATGGACCATGGGTATGTTTTAAAACAGGGTGATGGGGATGGCAAGTTAGGGGAATTGTACACTTGTCAACCTAATAAAAAGAACTTGTGATAACATTCAAATTTTCTACTTTAAGTGGAGAAAAGTAAATAGCCTGTGTTCATAATGTGTACAGTAGAGAATGTTTATTCAATATTTTATTAATTGAAAACACACCTTAAGTTATGGAATTAAGTGTTGCTTAAAGTTGTATTAAAGTGCAGTAAAAGGTATTTATAAACTTTAATTTCTGATTTGATTAAATGCTTGTGAAAGAATCAGTCAAGTGAATTGTAAGTAATCCATTGGAATGAGAAATTGTTCTTGATTTAGAAGATTTTATAAACTGGTATATTGTTTTTTTATTGTGTTTTATTTTATAGCTACAACACGAGTGCCAATTGACAGAATCCAGCTTGATGATCACGAACTTGACACTGAAGGAATAAGCTTGTCCTGGAATCGGGTCAACATCCCACCCTATCACCGTGACGATGAGCCACTTCTCTACTCAGTAGAGATGATGGAACAGCCAATTGATGACTGGCGCCCAGTTGTGTCAGGCATCCCGACTCAGCGTTATCGTGTTACTGATCTTGCTCCAGATCGGGATTACAAATTCCGTGTCAGGGCTCTTAGTTCCTATGGCATCAGTCCTCCATCCTATGCCCTTCCTGTTTCGTACCGACGTCCTCTTCCCAGTAAGTGTTACACAAAAAAACCTAAATCTTAAATGTTCATAAATTGCATTTGTGAAGTGTTGGAAAAAAGTGTATAAAAGGATTCTTGTTGAGGACCAGGGAATAATTTATCAGTTGAGATTTTATATATATTCTTTTGATCCCCAGGTCCAAGCCGTCCAATAAAGGACTACACTCCCAGACTTATGTACGATGACACCGATAGCTTGGCTTTGGCATGGCAACCGCCAACCTTGGACTCAACTCGACCACTCAGATACAGAGTTCAGATGCAGGCTCCGCCCAGCATGGATTGGCGTACTATGGCATCGGATATTCCTGACACTCGCTACCGGATCAGCGGTTTGGGTCCTAGCCGAGATTACATGTTCCGTGTTGTCCCAGAGACATCCTTGGGTCAGCTTGATCCTTTGCCTCCTGTGTCTCTTAGTTCTCTGCCAAGTAAGTTCTATGTGTATTTAAGGATATATGACAGTGTTTATCAATGATATAAAATTTTGAGAGACAGGAACTCTGTGTTCCAATATATATTTAGAAACAATTTTATTTTGCTTTGCATATGTGTCAATCAAAAAAAAATAATGATATTTGATCTGCAATGTGTAACAGTTTGATATACTTGACCAAGGATTAACTTTGTTCATGAAGTCTGATTTGTCATATTTAAAATTTTTATAAAAAAAAATTGAACCTGTTTTATATCTTCATTATCACTGTTGCATATGTTATTTATTTCCAGCACCAAGAACGTTCCATCCCAGTAGGCCAGAAATAACGGATATTGAACCGACATCTCTCGGGTTGTCATGGAAACGACCTGTCGTTGACATGTACACTCCCTTGACCTACAACATTGAGATGCAGGAACCACCAAGCCTGTTATGGAGGAACATTCACTCCGGATTATCCGATACCCATTACAGAGTGGGTGGACTCCAGCCAAGCCGGGACTACATGTTCCGTATTGTTCCTGTCACCACCTCAGGACAGTTGGAGCCATTGCCTCCAGTATCCATTTCATCTATGCCAGGTAAGTGTGATTTAGATTGTCAATTCACATTGCAGCTAAATATTAATTTAAGATATCAGTTTGTTTTGGTAAAATTTCCTACAGGTCTGAAAAGTTTGATTTTACAATTAATTTTACTGTGGTAAAATTCCATTCTTACGAGATGAAAATGATTTTTATAATTATTTGCCTCAACTTTTTGCTTTAATGTATCACAATTGATTCTCCATATAGAAACAGATCTGAATTTTTATAAAACTTTGAATGGTATAAAAACCTCAACCACAATTTTTTTTCTCTAAAGTGATACCAAGAATGCAGAACCAAGAACCAAATATGACTGAAGTGGGACGGGATTCCATCAAGTTGTCATGGCGACCTGCAGAGGTACCATTTTACAGGAGACAGCCACTTCCTGTTCATTACACTGTCGAAATGCGCACGCTGCCAAGTTCTGAATGGATTCCAGCCGTCCGCAGGTTGAAGGAGACCTCCTACATTGTCAAGGGACTAAACCCAAAGAACGATTACGAGTTCCGTGTTAAGGCGGACACAGACTACGGCAGTAGCTCTCCAACTTACCCTGTAACAGTCCGCAGGAAAGCTGGTAAGTTGAGGAAATTTTTATAGAAAATATTAACAAGGCATTCTCTTCTCAGGCTCAGTTATTACAAAAAAGGCTGAATCTATCAAAAGTAATAATGATATAGGTATATATTTATTCATTACCTCTGCTCGAGTTCTAAACGGGGTTCTCTGTCTTGCTAGACTTACATTCTACTGAAAAGCAATTATTGAGGACCAGACAACATCCGTAGGAATAATTAATACTGTTTAATAGTTAACATGTTAGAACCAGACTCACGTATCCCACTAGGAATCCATTCTAGAAAGACTGCCGATATTACTGAATCTACCAGACTCGAAGGTTGGATCTCATTTTCTTTGTATTCTACTGAAAAAGTTAAGAAGACTGCAGCAAATACTTACCAGAGTTACACAGAAATTACAGATTTTTCCACGTTGAGCTGATGATAAGCGAGTCAGAACTTTTCCATTTACTTGGAAAGTGGGCTTCGAAAAAGGAATGGAATATCACTCTTTGATGATTTCAGTGAAAATCAATGTGTAGACTTTTTGCCACATAAATATAACAATGATCACCATTAAGTTTCCCGTCTTATATATTTACAGTGCCTGTGTTCCCACGAAGGGAGCCAATCATAAGCAATGTATCACCAGACTCAATCACATTGTCATGGCAACCAGCCACATTGCCAGGACACAGTACCAGGATCCCGGTATATCAGATTGAGATCCAGGACCCACCCAGTATTGGACAGTGGCGACCACTCACCAACAACGTCTCACAAACATCATACAATGTGGTGGGACTGAGACCCGACAGGGATTACCTGTTCCGTGTCCGAGCCAAGGTAGACAGTATACTAGGGGAGCCCACTCTGCCTGTTTATCTGATGAGGAGATGTGGTGAGTACATAAAACATTATGATAATAGGTTAAAAAATTATATGAATTTGCAGGGAGGGGGAAAGGGGTGGGGAAACACCACTGAAATAGTATTTTAGCCATTATTAATTGGTGCTTTGGGAAGATTTAAACATTTTTCCAGGCTTTGCTACAATTTTGGATTTCAAATTTTATTTAAGGTATGGATTGGATTACCCTGTGGAAAATGCAAATAAGGGCATCCTTCTGGATGTGTATTGAGGTTTAGTTTTTAGATGAAAGGAATATGAGTCAACCCATAATTCTGAAAGTCTTATTCTTTTGAGCTTTTTTGACACTTTTGTGTTCGAATTAAGATTAAACATTTGCTTTCATTATTGGAAAGATAGGTTTCATTGTGATATCATGTGACTGACAGTCATGCGGACTGGCAAACACAATGTCTGCTTGATAACTTGAATGGTTTTCAACAGATCAGCTTCAAAACTCCAATATATATGTTTCCATATTCAGGACCACCACGAATGCCAACTGACCACCCATATGTCCATGACATCCAACCAACATCAGTGCGCTTGCAATGGAGATCAGTTGATTTATCTCCCCGCCACACAGACTACTCTCCAGTGACGTATCGTCTTGAGGTACAGGAAGGAACACGCAGTGACTGGGTCACACTTGCAGGACGTATTCCACACACAGATTTCCATGTGACCAATCTCACACCTGACCAGGAATATAGCTTCCGTGTCCGAGCCGAGAACAAATATGGAGTCAGCGAACCAACAAACTTAGTCCATATCAAGCGCAGGGCAGGTATGTTACCTTAGCAGAATTATATGTAAAGCAATTTCTGTTAAGTCATTCAATTCTATACATTATCCCAAAATCCAAATGATCAGCTGTCTTGCATTATCAAGCCCACATACTTCACGAGAATGCCTGACCCTATTTTCTGTAAATCCAATGGAAAGAAAATTGCAATGAAAATTAACTTACTGATAACTTTTGTTTTGGTTTGAGTCGCAGATATTGTCCAAAATTTAGAAAAAAATTCAAATGTTCAAACATCGTAATCATCAGGAAAGTCGTGATTTCTGAAGTATGTGGTCCCCTAAATGTTCTAACACTACAAATTATCTTATTTGGTGTTCATTCACGTTGTGTATTTTACAGTGGCACCTACTTTGCCACAAGATGAACCTCTTCTGTATGATGTTGGAGCCGGCTCCTTAACGCTGTCATGGAGATCGGCCGAGGTACCGTCTTTCAGCACATCACCTGTGACCTACTCCATATATGTCCAAGAGTCACCCTCGAGTTCATGGCTCCCTATGGTTAAAAGGATTCCCCACACTTGGTACACCCTCCATGGAATACGGCCTGACAGGGACTACACTTTCCGTGTGCAGGCAGAGAATGAGTTTGGTGTAAGTCGCCCTACGTTACCTGTACGTCTGTTCCACACAGGTAAGACCAGTGATCAGGGAACATTACAAATATTATCACAATATAATCACAAATTGGCACATCAACATGCTGTTACATTTTCTCTGTTCAAATTATTGAACCTAGTGTTTACTTTATCCTTTTTTTTCTTGAGAAAGTGAAGGCTGAAATTATGTCTAAACTGTCTTGATAGATTTTTGCTTTTGAGGAACGTTCTGTTGTGTATATTCAATAGTAACAAAAATTGATAAACTTGCCCATTTATGTGTTACGTTTTAATGGAAACGCTCTCTAATTTTATTTGTGTTTGCTGTAATACTGTAAAATCAACAATTTTTGTGGGCAATTTATTTTTGGGATTTCATATGTTCAAGAACTGTGAGTATAATAACTATAAGAGGATTCATTTAGTATATTTTTCTACAGAATCAAGTGTGAATAGAATAGAAAATTTTTGAAAAACTACAAAAATTGGACCCATGGAAATATACGATTTTACAATAAACCAACCCGTTTTAACTTGACTCATAGCGGACATAAGGTGCCTCATATTGTCATCCTATGATTATTTTCATAGCGAGAGTATGTGTTTTACACCTCAAATCAACAACATAAAATAATTATGCTGATAGTCATTAATTTGCGACTACTTACAGGAGTTATATTTCAGATTCAGTGTTGGATATTAATTAAAAGACAAAAAAATTACCTTCAGGACATCGTTACTTTTATTTTTCTGTATAAAAAAATACATATTATAATTTTCTTGTCAACAGATTACAAAGCACCCATCGAAATTCCGGAGATTGAAGAGTTTGATGAGAAGAGCTCTTCTATTAATCTCCGTTGGCGACCACGCTCAATGACACCATATGAGGGCGAGCCATTGAGATATCATGTGGAATCTTGGGAGCCGAGAAAGCGTGTGTGGAAGCGTTTGGCTTCGGATATTCCCGATACCAGTTACAGGGTGACTGGAGTATCCTCTAACCTAGAAAACATCTTCCGTGTTCGAGCCCAGACCAAAGCTGCTCTCAGCGAACCCACCTACCCAATCTCACTGAGCAGATATCTATGTAAGTCATCTATTTAGTTGAAATTGAGAAATTTTCTTTTACTGCCTGTGAGTTTATACATATAAGATTTAATCCCTGAAATTAATGCTGTGTTTATTAGCACATTATCTGCCAAGTTTATTGTTCAAAGAAGCTGGTTATATATTTAAGCTAGGCCTGTAGTTTTATACTTAAGATTTGAAAGAAAAATGGATATATGACCTTCAATGTGACATACTAATGTCCTACTGAGTGAACTAATGGGAAAACTCACCCAGCAAAAAACTAAAGACAACTTCCATTATACAAACAAGTAATCAGGCTACAGTTCATTACCGGTGGAAATATTCTAAAAAAGATCTGTGTTATGGTCAGAACTGTTTACACAGTATACACAAAAGGTGAACCTATAGTTATGAGTTATGAAAGGAACTGAAATGTTCCCTGTATCTATGGTTAATGATATCATCTGCCAGATCACTCTTATTTATCTGTAGTTAAAGGTTGGGAAGCAAATTATGTCATTTCTATTATATTACATGTACTTCAGGTATCTAAAGCAGTTGACATATCATCATGTCTGCTTAATCTATTTTCTAGACCCAATGCCACGACCACAGCTACACGACCTTGAACCAGAGGCTGTCAGGTTGTCATGGAGCCCATACCAACATTCTCGGCCAAGGATGTCATCATTGCCTCCTTTACCATCATTACCACGACGATACGAGGTGGAGCTGCGAGAGCTTGGTTCCCATGACTGGAGAAGCGTTGCTACTGTTCCAGATACATCCTTCTACTATCGTGGCTTGAGACCACGTCAAGACTATCAGTTCCGTGTCCGTGGAATTTCGGATCAGGGTCCTTTGGATCTTTACTCTAGTCCTGTCACACTCTACAGGAGAACAGGTTAGTTTAGTGAATTCACTCATATTTAATGAAATGTGGAAATAAGGACAGCTTTAGCTAGATTGGTTTACTGAAATTCACGTCAGCTTAATATCTTATTTACAGCTAAGGCTGTAAGAGGAGAGATATGTAGAGAAAATCAACAAAAGAAAGTTAGATTTTTAAAAATTAAAGAAAATAATGAATTTCTGTAACACTTGAATGGCCCTGCTTCCATGCATGTAATTATTAATGCTTGACAGAATTCTGTAAATAGTATCTGTAACCTTGACCTTTGAACCCTGAAACACAATTTCTACGAAAGTATGGTCATAGTTGACCTTTTCATAATTTTGGATCGAATGTGATCACAGGAGTGATGACATTTATTACAGAAGGGTAGCAATTCATGTGATGTTTTTAAAGAGTTCACTATCATGAAAAATTATCAATACTTTCCCTTTTTGCAGCATTACCCAGGGTGCCTTTGTCACGGCCAGAGATCATGTCTGTTCAGGATGAGACCGTTGACCTTTCCTGGTCAAGAGTGGACATTCCAGCCACTCAGTATGACGAAACTCCTCTGACCTACATCATCGAAACCCAGCAACTTCCAGGATATGACTGGATGCCAGTGGCACGTGGAATTCCCGACACAAGCTACAGAGTCACTGGTCTGAGACGTAACCAAGATTATGCCTTCCGGATAAGAGGAGAGCTCCCATCTGGACTTTCGGAACCATCACCATATGTTCCTGTTTACCGTCGACCAAGTGAGTCCAAGATCATTATCAAAAAGTACCCTAGTATGATTAGTACTAGTATAAGTCCCAGGACATTGCTGTCTCAGTACTATTCCCAGCAGGTCAGTCCAGCCGCAGGTGTCATCGGGGTCAAGACAAATGACAATATTGACACAAGCACTTTACACGCTTCTTCTGCACGCAAAGCTAATGTATGTGTAGATAGGCATAAGATCTTAACCAGAGTTGATGAAAATATCAAGACAAGGCGAGATTTCTTCCTCGCAGAGCTTGAAAGAATTGATACAGAATGGCAAAAGAAACACTTGAAAAGGGTCCGTAAGATTGACTTGAAACCGCCTCTTCCCCCAAAGCATGCTCCAAGAAATGCAAATTTGAAACCACCAATGAGTCCTAGGTCCCGTCGTGAACAATTTTTGCAGGATAGTAAAAAGATAAATGCTAAAATTCCCGTACGGGAGAAGAGTTTAGGGTTTAGTAGTGTATTAGAGAAGTTCAAGAAAGCTGATGTTGTTGAGAAGGTTCAACAGCCAAGAATTGGCATCCAAGAGGACGATATCAGGAAGGTAGCGTGTACAGAACTGACCAAAGCACCAAGTACAACAACGTTGAGAAAAAAGTTTGTATCCGACCTTGATCTCACCTTAAACAAATCGAAACCAGAACCATACATTATAAAAGATCATGTACCAGAGAAATTTAAGGTTTCAAAGACTGATTTTTATGCACCCAGACTGAACTTGCTGAAGAAAGCGTTTGATGATAGCTGCACAACAACAGGACGGCATTATACTCGGCCATCGCGGATCACAGAGAATGCTCAAAAGTATGTCTCGCGTGATTATCATAGGGCATCATCCTGGCACGGTTTTACAAGAAAATATCCTTTGGTGGGTCGGTCATCCAGTGTGACAAGGGATTTGTCCATTTCTAGGTCTGCTAGGGCCAGTTCTGTTGACTTGATGAGCGTCCCAAAACGAAGTCAGTCTTGCAGTGTTATTGCCTCCTACCGTGATCCATCACTCAGTAGGATCGGTCTGTCTTGGTACCATGACAGAACATCCTCTAACATGCCTTTCGCAAGGAATCTAAGTGCCTCTGCATATGATTTGGCAAGGAAATCATCCGTGCCTCCAATGGCTTTACCAGAGAGATATTCCAGTTCAGAATACTTGTATCGTCGTGACAACAGTTCCTCTAGAACAAGAGATGCAGTTCGGTCTGCTCGAGGTGTGTCCCTTCCTCCTGTCAGTGCCTTGAACAAGTACTCAAGTTCAGAATATCTGTCTCAGCGTGATTACAGTCCGTCAGTTGATCGAGATTCTAGACGATCATATCGTGGAATGTCACAACCTCCTGTCAGTGCCTCCGATAGGTACTCCAGCTCGGAGTATCTGAATAGAAGAGACCACAGTTCCTCCTTGAATCGTGAGTCCAAAGGACGAGATTCCAGCTGGTCAATGAGTAGAGCACCGAAGTCATACAGAAGTAAGAGCATGTCTGTGGTAGATGGTTATGTTCCCGTGTCGACTTCCTCAACAAGGAATACATATGTACCAAAGACTAAATGCTTCCGAGACCATTCTCCATCTCGAAGACTTGCCTCCGTGCCAGCCACACCACCAAGAAGAGAATCGTCACCGTTTATTTCCAGGGGAAGTCCTCTATTATCACGCAAGGGATCGGTTGAACCTTTAAGGCATTCAGTTGGCACAGATAGAGGAAGTCTTCGAGAATCTTCCATCATGAAAACTCGTCATCTAACACCCCAAAGATTAAGGACCATGTCAGTCAGTAGTTCCTGCGGGTCTCTGTACGACACGACGCCATCTAGTTCCAGGGCACCGTCTGTCATTTCGCGCTCTCCTTCTAAGGATTACTCAGACTCACTCAAAGATAGAGATACTTCCTGGATAAGGAAGGTTGTGTCAGGCTTTAGAAAAAACATTGCTTAGGGCGTTTTATCACATGAAAAAAGAACAAGAAGCAGGTTTTATCACATGAAAAATGAACACATATCAGTTTAGCTTTCAATTTTTAGGCAAACTGATACTAATCAAGAACTGAAATATTTGTTTATCTAATTTAGATAATACCATGAAGATGAAAAATAAGTCAACAGAAGAAATTTGCCTGCAAAATCTTGGCAAAAACGTGACCCCGAATTACTTCCCTGACCAATTTTATCATTGATATCAAAATTCCCCTTGTAAATTTGTAAGTTATGTCCCATTTAAAAACTCCTCAGTGTAAGATATAATCCCACATAAAATATCACCTCTCCCTATACCTTTTCCATTTCCCTATACTGTTGTATCACGTGTTTTGAGTTATGTCCCTTTTGACGTTGAACCTTGTACACAGCAGTTACACCAAAATTACGTCCCTTCAGTTTTGTGACTTATGATAAAGAGAGATACAGTTTGACAGTTTTACATAGTGTTGTGTTCCTCTCCCAAGAAGTTTTCTGAATTAGTGGTTCATTTGTCATTCTGTATCAATATATTGATGACTAAACCATACCACCCTTTATGACATTTTGTCACTTACAGGAAAGTGACCATTTAGTTTCAAAAGGGTGAAAAGGTTGATACACTTTGTAATGTTGCACATGTTTTAATCATTTTTTTTTCTGTTTTGTATGTAATTCTAAGTTGTACATTGTAACATTTTACACTTATATTCTTTATTTCTTTAGTTGTTTTTGTAGATGTTTGTATTTCTCACAAATGTTTTAGAGAGCACTTTTTAACATTAGTGTGATACACGTGATATACTTTTATAGTATTTTGTTTTAAAATATGGTAAAAAATTATCTTGAAATTTACCACAGTAATTTCTGTATCATTTTGATTATTAATTTTTTAATATATCACAAGAGATTTATGCTATATAGTTTGCTAATATTGAAAACATCTGATGTTAAGACTGATGATTGGACTTTGGTCAGTTTTCACATCAGGACATATTATCTAATAAATATTACAGCTTATAACATGCTAATGCTATTAACACACCTATGCCATCATTGCTATAGAATTTTTTTTTTTTTGCTGGACAAATCTTGCTCTAAGCTTTGCTAGCTTTAGGAACTGGACCATCAATACTACCTGAGACAAAAACAAATATACTTCTATCTTGAAATTACTGAACCATTGTTAATTAATTTTAATTAATTTAATACAGTTATTTAAGTTCAATAATTGTATGTTATAATTAACTTTATAACTTTATAATTAACATTGTTCAACAAACAGCGATATGGCATAAGGTTATCATTTATATACGGCAAATATTCATGAAATCCAAAATAGAGATTCTCTAAGATATCTTTTTTTAATTTAAGTAACTCTTGTCTTCTTTATGCCTTGAAATGTCCAAGATTGGAAATAGAGAAGGGAAGGAGGTGAAGATTTCTCATGATTACCCTCTGCAATATTTGCCGTATATGACATTTACTGTATAACGGGATATTTTCGCCCATGTATCATTTTACACAAATTCGCCTCATGTTCTTTTCGACCTTTGATGATTTTATTAAATTGTTATATATTGGTATAACAAAATTTCGCCTTTTTAATCGTCACCTCCCAATCCATCCAAACCCCTGATCATGGGCAGAAAGGGTGAAAATTATATGGGTCGAAAATTCCCGCCGTTATGCAGTATTTACAATTAATGACTTACACTTCAGTGGTTTGCGTGCATTTTTATCACCAGTGTTAACATTAATCGAATCAATCTCGATAATACATATTTTTCGATTTCCTAAATTTTAAATTCAAACTTTAAAGAAATTTCTAATTCTTATACTATTTCATACTCGATTAAATACCACATGCAGGCACTGAATTGTAAGTTATTCTATAATATAATAAATTTCTGTATATACGAAATGTTAAATACGTTTGGTAGTTTACGTAGAAAATTGTAACTCTTTATATATGTACCGTAAGATTTTGTTTTAAAAGAACTATGTATATATAATACAAAGATAGATGTTTTTCTGGTTTGGAATTTATTATGAACACAGTATTTAGAAACCTGAATATAGTATCTGTGATAATTTGTCAGATTGAGTGGTAGCAACATGAATAACAATACCAGGAGAATTATACAAGGGCTATTTTTTCTCTCTCTTGATCTTATCGTAACAAAAGATTTTCTACTAGCGGTGATTTCCAAGTGATAATGTCTTATAGTAAAAATTATCTTTTCAAGAACAATATATGAATATCAAAGGTAATGTTTTTAATCACAATTGTATAGCAAATTCTGTGTATTGATTTATTCAGAATGTTGAAAAATTCAATAAGTATAAAAGATGTATAAATTACATTATTGAATTCTGATTGACAATTAATTTCTCTAGTGTTTAAGGTTAATTGCTATTCATTTATGGAAGAATTTAAGTAAATATATTTTATTTCAAATATTGAGATATAATTTTCAGATAGAATTGTTACATACTGAATATTTCTGTCATAGTTGTAACTGAAACCGAAGAAAAAGATGTAACTTCACAATGTTCTTGTATCATTTTTGTCCACAGAAAGTCAGAAAGTCTATAAATTAATGGATCTGTATATTAAATTATCTTACAAATTACTGTTTATTCACAGTAGTTTTCATAAATTAAGCATTAGTTTCAAAGTCTAAGAATGGATGTTAATATAGAATGTGTTCTAGCTACTGACATTTTGTTTTGAAATATTAATATCTATTGTTTAATAACTATTAATGTACATAACTGATATATACGATAATATATTATATCTTATATATTTATTGTAGAAGTAGTTGGGAATTTGTGCAATTGAACCTTCACAGAATTAGCCTTCACACTGTATGATATAATAGAATGTGCATGATAGATTAATTGAATTCATATAAAATTAATAATACGATGTCATTCAGGTAACTCTGAAAACTTCCTGGACATCCTCTCGATCTACTTACATTATTTGTACACATGTCCTGCAGCGGTTGTCGTAAAAATAAAACTTTATATTACTTAAATTCCTGAAAATACAGAATATACAGTAACAATTAAGCTTACTTGTGATCTACTTACATTATTTGTACACATGTCCTTCAGCGGTTGTCGTAAAAATTAAACTTTTAATTACTTAAATTCCTGAAAATACAGAATATACAGTAACAATTAAGCTTACTTGTGCAGTGTACACATTAACAAATGAGGAAGCAGTTGAACTTTGCTCAAACTTGTGTAAAAAATTGAAATAATGCAATGAATTTAAAAAATGAAAAGATTTCAAAGTTATGCAGTCATGTGTAGTTCTCACTATCAAATATATAAACAACTTACTTACAGACACCAGTGATACAGAAAAATGAAAATCGTACTTTTCTGTAAAAGGGGGATATGTCAAGGTTTGGTTTTGAATTCTTCTTTTTATTCCTCTTTGTTCGAAAATTGACAAAAGAATTTAAACCGAAAAGAGATCTATTTATCTATAGATGCAGTAGAGACCTACAACAGGTTCAGGGGTCCCTGTCCCTTTAACAATAATCAGAGTTACTTGAATGATATATTATTTAAATGCCAGTGAGGCTAGAAGACCTGCTGGTACCAAGATTCGGAACTATGCGTTGTTTATGAGTATTATTTTTACAATAAAATGTGATATTTTTTTTCGTTGCCAAACCATCCAGAGTGTCCTTTATTTTCTATTGAGAATATAATGTCCTAGGATTTATTTCATAATAGATGAGTGTCGTGTGTTTTTATAGTCTTGAGAAAGAATACGAAATGTGAATTTACTGCACATTGGTTTTTTCATAATTTTCCGAAAAAATTGAAAATTAAAATGTTCAAGACATTATGAGTTATTATGTTTGTCTAGAGATATGAATAATTGTATGGAAAATTGATAGATGTGCAGCATATTCGTCAAATTTCATGTAGATGTGATTTATGAAAACAGGTAAGTTTATTTTTGAAGTAGTGATTGGTTGGGTGTGGCTTTAAGATTGAAAAATATGAGAACCTGTTTATCTTCATCTAGTATTATTTGGTAGTAGTTTGATCTATGAAATATATGAGAATCTGTTTACCTTCATCTAGTCTTATTTTGTAGTAGTTTGATTTCAAATACTGGACTGTGATACAGTGTGTTTTGTGCCAAATGTAACCCTTTCATCCCTATTTTCACTAAAAGAGATAATGTTTTCATCGGTGAAGACGTATCTAAAATCTATAAATAGGTGTGAAAGGGTCACTCTAAATATTATCATGTATCTTTTATTCCTTATAAGGACACAAAATTACCGCTGATACTTTCATGTGTTGTTTTCTTCTGTTATTCTTCGCTTATATATAAGTAAACTAGACTTTGTGATTTGTTGAGACCTGCGTTTTGAGTTTTAGCTGTTGACAATAAAAAAGCGCTTGCCCAACTTGTGTCTTTGAGTATCATTCTATACAATTTGTATTCTATGTTACCCATGTGTTGTTTTACATTACCTGTTGTTTCTATATTACCTGTTGTTTACCTGTTGTTCTATATTACCTGTTGTTTCTATAGCTGTTTATCACCTGTTTTATTTCAGTGTTAGCCGATCTTACCTTCCACAGTCAGGGTAAACACCTGTTACTTGTGTTGTTTGCTCTGGTTCAAACTAATTATTATCGTTTCGTTAAGTTTCTATTCTAAGACGGCATGTTTTATTTACATTTCTGGTTATTTTCTACCCCTACATGGATTATCTCCCTTTTCTTTAATTATTTACCCAGGTTATTTTCTCATTACTGTTGTTCAATTTGTGATTGTTGCTGTGAAGGCATGGATTATAAAATATTCTAATTCAACTTACCTTTCATAAGGTCGTGTTCAAAATAAACTCATTTCTTCATCCTGGATGATCGCGATGTTGTCAAAACTAACATTTTATTAATATCGGCTGTATACTAGACTTTTGACATTCAGTATTCTCTAATGTCATTGAAGAGGTGTGGAGTTAAACATCCAACCACCATTTACCCTCATAACTTCTTCATCCTATCAATGTCTTTATGACAAAATGCCATTATTTTGTACTTCGGCAGAATTTGGTGGAATGAGTGTTACAAAAATTTCACAGAATTTACCAACCTGATGATACATTTTGATAATCAGGGACAAATTCTGTTGACATTCGATGTTGTACTCAAATGTGCATCAACAACTTGAAGGAAGCCTGAAAAAAATATAAAGAAATTATCAATAATAATGAAATGAGTATTGACTCATAAACAGCTGATAAATATTTAACAAACAACATGCAAGTGAGACACACATTTTAATACAAATTTAGAATCATATACAGTAGAGTCAAATGAAGATTTTAACTATACCATACAGCTGTTTCGTCCTAGAATCATATACAGTAGAGTCAAATGGAGATTGAAACTATACCATACAGCTGTTTCATCCTAGAATCATATACAGTAGAGTCAAATGGAGATTGAAACTATACCATACAGCTGTTTCGTCCTAGAATCATATACAGCAGAACCAAATGAAGATTGAAACTATACCATACAGCTGTTTCGTCCTAGAATCATATACAGTAGAGTCAAATGGAGATTGAAACTATACCATACAGCTGTTTCATCCTAGAATCATATACAGTAGAGTCAAATGGAGATTGAAACTATACCATACAGCTGTTTCGTCCTAGAATCATATACAGCAGAACCAAATGAAGATTGAAACTATACCATACAGCTGTTTCGTCCTAGAATCATATACAGTAGAGTCAAATGGAGATTGAAACTATACCATACAGCTGTTTCATCCTAGAATCATATACAGTAGAGTCAAATGGAGATTGAAACTATACCATACAGCTGTTTCATCCTAGAATCATATACAGCAGAACCAAATGAAGATTGAAACTATACCATACAGCTGTTTCGTCCTAGAATCATACACAGCAGAACCAAATGAAGATTGAAACTATACCATACAGCTGTTTCGTCCTAGAATCATATACAGTAGAGTCAAATGGAGATTGAAACTATACCATACAGCTGTTTCGTCCTAGAATCATATACAGTAGAGTCAAATTAAGATTTTTTCTATACCATACAGCTGTTTTGTCCTAGAATCATACACAGCAGAACCAAATTCAGATTTAAACTATACCATACAGCTGTTTCGTCCTTGAATCATATACAGCAGAACCAAATTAAGATTTAATTTATACCATACAGCTGTTTCGTCCTAAGACTGTGATGCTAAGGGCCTATATTTTAAACCTGTGAGGTTAATATGGTCTAAAATGGCGAGCACTATTAATTAGTAGGATAAGTTACAAGTAGTATCATTGTTCAGGTGTAGAAAAGCAATATATACCACGATGTCGTACAGATAGTGCTAAAGACACAAACGAGTAGCACCTTTGATTCAAATTAAGATCTGATACAACACAAAATAAATTAAATCAGACAGTTATTTTTCTACTACTGTGAGTTGTCCGGGATGCTTGGAGCATAATGTCCTGATCAACACTGAGGAAAATTGTTTTTAATGGTCAAAATAAACGTCAGTATATAGATAGGAATATGCAATAACCCCATACTGGAATCAATTCCATTTTTTTAATTATGGATGATATCACATGTATGTGTATTCTGAGCTGTGTCAGTGTTGAAATAGATGAAACGTTATATGCATTGTATATATAGAACAAGCTTCATGGACTAATAATGTTGTAAGAAATTCAATTATAGACTGGAAAAGCAGATATTTAATTGGTGATATATCATTTACATTGACAATAATGATTCAATATTCAGAATTTCTATTGTAAATGTACATTGCACCAGAGATATTCAGAAATCAGTATCAAACACTTGTACTAAGCACGTTTCGATGACATCGGGAACAGGGGGAGTGGGGGCGGGTGGAGGTCAGCAGATGAAAAACAATTTACATGTAACAGAAAATATCAACATGATGTTAACTAGTTAGTGTACATGTCATTTACAAAATATGTTTGCTGGGTTCATCGCTTCATTGATATCGAGAATCGTTTTAAGGCGAGTTCTTGTAGCGGCTGGTGGTCTCTCTCCTGAACAAGAAATAGAAAACCAGTCGCCTGGCATCCAGAACCCTTGAGGTTAAAATGCCTTGCCCAAGGACACAACTGCACTTTCCGTTTCTTAGGCTCCTTGAAAAATAGAATAGCCAAGAGCTGGAAGCATCGAAGTAAAGTTCTACCCTCTGATAATAAAACAAACGTATTATATTATACCTAAAACTTAAGTCCAGGTGTCAAATTATGTCTAAATACAAACGTTAGGTTATATGAGAATACTACGTCCAGGCATCAGATTGTATGAATATTAAGTCCACATATCAGATAATATTCGAATATTTCGTCCAGGTATCAAATTTTGTTACAATATTTCGTCCATATTTCATATTTTATTACAATATTTCGTCCATGTAGCAGATTTTATGAGTATTTTAGTTCATATATCAGAAGATATTCGAATATTTCGTCCACATATCAGATAATTGAATATTTCGTCCAGGTATCAGATCCTATGTAGGTAATCCGTCATCTACCTCGCCTTAGGGGACGCTCAACTGTAAGGCCCCGCGTGAGGTAATAATACATACTAAGATCATAACGTTATACTAAAACAAATCTTAGATTCTGTACGGGAGGGGTGAGCTTACACATCAGTCGCCTCTCTGCCTCTTTACTTATTTTCCATCCTTGATATTCTATTGTAGGTACAAATCTCCGTGTCGACACCCGCACTAACGACCTGTTTATTACCCTCTGCATGTTTGCCAATACACCGATCTGCCGAGGCTTTGAATGCCATTCGGAGGTGTCTTTGATAAAGTATTACCTTACAATGCTACTTTTTCAGAAGACTAGGGACTATTCCACACGAGTGTCAAAATGACTTTTGCATGAGGTATCTTTACTCACTGTTTACCTTTCCTATTATACAGTTGTTTTGCTATAGGGCGTCAGACGCGTTTCTGATGTAATGTGTTTGAAAGATGTGCATAGAGTGTGTTCTGTTAAGAATCGACCTTTGCAGAATCACGCTTTGGTATAAGAAGTGTTCCGTCATAAATTCTTTACAGTCGGTAATCTGGCACAACAATTGTAAATCTATTTCTTATTTTGTTTGTGTTTACATAAAGCATTACCTCCAGAGGAAAACCCTACCCATGGATAATTACTTCCAGAAGCAGCTATATATAGATATACCTCAATGCTCGTTTGACGTCAAGGTCGTGGTATAATAGGCCATTAGTAGGGCTGTGGGGGAGGGCTACCTTGTACACAGAAAAGTACATCTAACGCTGATTTGTGACTACATCAAAAATCCTATTGTCTCGTGTATATTTATATAGATATATATCAAATTTGATAAATATGATATCTAATTGTTATCACTTTAATACAGTATTTCTGTAATGTTAGTTAAAATTTTCTGTAAAACGCACGACAGTACAGATTTCAAGGTGTTTAAAAATTTAGTTAATATTGAATAAGATTAGAAACACTTGGCTCCTAGTCAATGTAAGTTTCTGTCAATACTAGTCATATTTAAGATTTTCACTGAAAAATAATAGTATATATTGATAGAAATATATATGATTTAGCTAAAAAAAACGTGTCATCGACCCTGCAATACAGCATATAGGTAAACAGTAATACATGTTACAAAATACATACGTCTTGTACCAGATGGCGGGGGTCAATTTCATACATGTCAAGAAATTAGTATATTAAAGGATTGTTTACAAATGTTTCAAGATTTTAAATAGTTTTCTTATAAAATTATGATGTTGTGTATGATTAGGGAAATGAAACATGAAAATACTGAATTGTAAAATTAGTTAGAGCGAATAGGAGCAAAAACCAAAAACTGAACAAAGTGCGATTTCTTAATCAATATCGTAAGACAGGTGCTTTGATCTATATTAATACATGGATTCTTCTCGAGAGATATTGTTCGATTGTCGTCGCTGAAAATCAAATACAAAAGTAAATACAAGCAAAAAATAAGCGGTTGGATCTGTGACCATTAATTGATGATACAACAGTCGGGCATTATTTCTCTACACATGTATCAGGCTAGCATATGTTTTCTAATTGTATATGTAATATATCGCCTGATAACAAAAGTGCAACTGAACATTAATGTACCACATGTAAACATTAATCATTGCATCGTACCAAGACTCTCCTAAATATTGAAAACACATGTAAAACGCTGTTAGGAGGGGTTTTTTTTATTGAAGTGTGACTGGTAGAGGTTTCGAGCGAAGCGCTTTTTTTGTTTTTAAACGGAGGATGCCTGTATTTTAGCTCTAAATATTCAAAACAATACCTGATTGCGTTATTATCATAAAACTCAAATTTTATTCAAAATTCAAACC